TACTGGATCCGTGCAGTCGGTTTTGAAGGGAGAGGAGCCTATAAATACGTGCTGCTGAATATGTCACTAATGTTAATCAAACAACAAAACAGCTATAACAAAGATTAATCTAAATTTAATTCATACAGTGAACACTATGCAGTGTTATTTTACACTTAATTATTAAATTTCTGTATTTGAATACTACTGTTTATTTTATCTATGCTTGTAAATTGTGTATTTCTTTTTTTTTTTTCTTTTTTTTTTTTTTACTGACTGTTCGCTTGCCTTTAATCATGTTTGAACTTTCTCAGATTATAGTTTTTGCTGTGGTATATGAATAAGTACTTAAAGTGTGTGGAAAGCAAAGTTACAATAATATAAAATTTGTGTCATTAATTTTTTTTTGTTTGTATGTTCACACTGATGTTAAAATGACATTTTCTGAACTGTGACATTACTTTTTATGTAATGCTATAACACTGCTGGTCACTTTCAGAAGTTATAGTGATTCTTTATTTTCCAAGAAAGAATGTGAAACAAATTTGGTCACAACACAGCGCGCCGCGCGCAGCATAGAGAAGTTCAAAGCACAAAGTGAAGAGATATTGATGCGTAGTGTATTAAATATGTGCGTTAGTTTATTGAGCCTTTTCTTTTAACAGTTTTAAATTTCAGTTACTGTGCTCGTGACTACAATTCATAGTGCTCTCTACTCCAGTCTTGCGATCTAACCAGATATACGGTAGAAATTTACACGATTTAGAAACAGCACAAAACTCCAGCAAGATAAATTCCTTTTATGCAAAACCATTTATCTTTATTTACAGATCAAGTATAACATTAGGAACATTTAATCATCTTGGAGAGAGTTTCATCTTCTTGACTGTCGTAACCGAATGTGACACACAGTTTGAATGCTGAATGGAGGATGACAGACAGCCGCTGCGGAGAGAAGAGTTTACGTGAACTTGACTTAAATATTCATCTGTACCTCACATTAAACTATGGAAAAGCTTCAGAACACTTGAAATATAGTGCACGAAAACTTTATGGTGCTTTATAATGTTTTTGTGACTTTCGTGGGGCTTAATAATAACACAGAATAGTATACACACTATATCTGATATGGATCGGTCTCGTCTGACCGATACCCCGATCCAGCAGAAAATGCCAGTATCGGAGCGATACCGATACTGAATATCGGATCGGTGCACCCCTAAAATGGAGCAGAATGCAGCTATGGGTCATCAGTTCATTCTTCTCTCACAGTCAGAGATTTCATTCTGCTACATCAGTTACGGGGGTGAAGCATTGATTCACTGATGTAGCGTGATTCCTTTTGCATATTATTCACATTCTGCTTCAGGCTCTGCATATTAACATAAATGAAATCTTGAAGTGCCAAAGTTTTCAGTCTTTTATCAATTCACATATCATTTTTATAGATGTTCGTCTTTTAGTTTAACATTGCTCCTTTTTGTTTGAGTCTCATTACAGCAACCTGAAATGGCATCCGCAAAATTAGCTACCTTGGATCTGTAGAATGTGGTACTTCAACTCTGAATGTAGCAGGGAAAATGTTATATTTATATTTCTGAGGCCCAGCACTGCTGGAAACCCAACTCTCATAGTATAACATTCAAATGGCAAAGAAGACGACAGATACCCATCTAAAGAGATGCTGTTAATCTAATCTTAAAAGAATAAAATGGCATATATTTATGGAGAATATTTGTTTTAGACTTGGTTTTATTTACAGTGGTGTGAAAAAGTTTTTGCCCCTTCCTGTTTTTTTTTATTTTTTTGCATATTTGTCACTTGAATGATTCAGATCATCAAACACATTTTATTATTACACAAAGATAACCCGAGTAAATACAAAATGCAGTTTTGAAATAATGATTTCATTTATTAAGGGAAAAAAGCTGTCCAAACCTGCCTGGCACTACGTGAAAAGGTAATTGCCCCCTAAATCTAATAACTGGTTGTGCCACCCTTTGCAGCAACAACTGCAATAAAGCGTTTGCGATAACTGGCAATGAGTCTTTCACATCGCTGTGGATTGATTTTTGGCCCACTCTTCTTTGCAGAATTGTTGTAATTCAGCCACATTGGAGGGTTTTCGAGCATGAATGGACTGGGTAAGGTCATGCCACAGCATCTCAATCGGATTCAAGTCCGGACTTTGACTTGGCCACTCCAAAACCTTAATTTAGTTTTTCTTGAGCCATTCAGAGGTGGACTTGCTGGTGTGTTTCGGATCATTGTCCTGCTAAGATGTTTTTTGGCAAATGTGAGACA